CTTTAGCCAGCTCGGTGACGTCCATTGGTTGTGCGGCTTTCACTAGTCTCAACTGTTGGGCAACCTCTGCAGGCACACTTTCAATGAATTGCGACGCTAGCAGCTGTGCTTGCGACTCCTCATCCAAATTCGGCAGACCCCGGCGCAGCAATCTTGTCAACTCCACAGCCAGCACAAGTGGGTCGCCATCCACCGTCAGTCTCGCCTCTTGGAACTTCTGCAGCGCGTCCTGCCTATCCGCCGGGCTGTCGAACTCCACCAGCAGCCTTTCCGTCACCACCTCCCAGTCAGCATCTTCCACACCATCGTACACCGCTCTCGCCCTGCCTCTTAGTAGAGTCCCCAACGCCGCCGCTTTCGCCCTCTGCTCCTTTACTCCTACCAGCTCCGCCACGGTCTCAAACTCCTTCAAGAAGCTCCTTACATCTCCGTCTTCAAACTTCCGAGGCTATGGAATCTTCATCCTGTGTAGAGGCAACGACGTTGCCTCTTGAAGGAGTTTGAGACCGTGGCGGAGCTGGTAGGAGTAAAGGAGCAGAGGGCGAAAGCGGCGGCGTTGGGGACTCTACTAAGAGGCAGGGCGAGAGCGGTGTACGATGGTGTGGAAGATGCTGACTGGGAGGTGGTGACGGAAAGGCTGCTGGTGGAGTTCGACAGCCCGGCGGATAGGCAGGACGCGCTGCAGAAGTTCCAAGAGGCGAGACTGACGGTGGATGGCGACCCACTTGTGCTGGCTGTGGAGTTGACAAGATTGCTGCGCCGGGGTCTGCCGAATTTGGATGAGGAGTCGCAAGCACAGCTGCTAGCGTCGCAATTCATTGAAAGTGTGCCTGCAGAGGTTGCCCAACAGTTGAGACTAGTGAAAGCCGCACAACCAATGGACGTCACCGAGCTGGCTAAAGTAACAAGACAACTGATGAACTCAACAGTCGCCTCGGTGGCGTGTGAAAGACAGGCTGATGATGTCGTGAAGAAGATAGAAGAATTACAACGCGAGGTGGCAGCGTTACGAATAAAGGGTGGAAGAAATAATAAATGCTATATTTGCGGAGGAACCGGGCATTGGAAGAGGAATTGCCCGACAAGACGGAAACGTAAACATTTTAGACCATATGCATGGTGTTCTTTATGTCCTGTGAAACTGGGGGTCGCGGCAGTAGTAGATAGGGGGCGGTCTATGCGGGAGTAGGGATAAACGAGCGAGAGGTAGTGTGCCTGATTGATACAGGGGCGGCAGTTTCGTTAATAGACAAAGAGTGGTGTAGAAGTAGCAGGCCGAGTGCATTAGTTGTTAACACCATCGGAGGCCACGTGTTAAAATTCCTAGGAGTCTCAAATGATATCGTGAAAATCGGCAATTCGGAAATACAGTTTCCCTTTGTGGTAACTACGAACTTGTCGAGACCAATACTAGGAGCAGATTTCTTGGGAGAAGTAGGAGCAATTATTGATACAAGAAGCAAGAAGGTGATTACAAAGTACGGCACACTGACAATACATGAAAGCAGCGAGGTGGCTGAAGTTAGAGTAGCAAAATAGGACAATGAAAAGAAGCAGAACATTAACGAGGTGCTCACGAAATATACGAAGTTGTTCACGGGAGACGGAGAACCGTACGGGTTTTGTAATAAGGTTAAACATGAAATTCCGATGAAGAACGAAGAAGTGACAATCTTCACAACACGACGGGTCCCCGTACATTTGGAAGCTGAGATAAACCAGCGGGTACAGGAGATGTTAAAGGCAGGTATAATTGAAGAAGCAGATCGCCCGTACAGCTCGCCGGCACTTTTGGTAAAGAAGCCGAATGGAAAGTATAGATTCTGTGTTGACTTTAGGGAACTGAATAACGTGACAGAACTAAAACCATGTGCAATGCCAACAATAGTGGAGACATTAGATCGTCTACAGAGTGCTACGGTGTTCGCAGTGTTAGATTTACGGTCGGGCTATTGGCAGCTACCAATAAAAGACAGTGATCGCAGCAAAACGGCATTTACCGTACGGGAGAAGCAGTATCAATTTAAACGAACGCCCTTTGGATTGGCGGGTGCACCGTTTACGTTTCGAAGACTAATGACATTGCTGCTCAGAAACCTGGAGAATGTCGAGGTGTATGGCGATGATTTGGTCGTATATAGTCGGACAGAGGCAGAACATGTGAGGCACGTGGAGGCGGTCCTAAGGCGAATTGATGAGTTTGGTTTACGAATTAACAAAGACAAGTCTGAGATAGCAAAAAGAAGCGTCACGTTGCTGGGGCATAAAGTAGGCAATGGAGAAATAAAACCACTGCCGGAAAAGATTCTAACGATAAAGAATATTGCAGTTCCCAACTCAAAAAGGAAGTTAAGATAGTTCCTGGGAAGAGCGGCGTTCTACAGCAGATTCGTGAAGAACTTCAACGATATAGCAGCACCTCTATATAAAGTGCTACGCAATGCGAAGTTTACGTGGACAGAGACCGCTCAACAAACCTTCGACCGAATCAAAGAGCTGTTAGATGACCGCAAAATGACGCTGAGACTGCCGGAACCCGAGAAGCCATTTACAGTGGCCACTAATGCGAGCGATCACGGTATAGGTGCCGTCTTGAGGCAGTCTGACAGGGTGGTGGAGTATACCGGCCATGTCCTTACGCCGACGGAACAGAAGTATTCCACAGTAGAAAAAGAGTGTTTAGCGATTGTATGGGCGGTAGACAAATGGAGACCATATCTACTGGGTCGGCGATTTCACATCGAGACGGATCATAAGCCCCTACAATGGTTGAAAATAGCAAAAGACCCCCGGGGGAAGTTGGCTCGATGGATGCTACGTCTGCAGGAGTATGATTTTAGCATCGGGCATGTGCCAGGGGGAGGAAAATGTAATGGCAGATTATTTGCCAAGACCGGACGCCGAAGCCGAACTTCCAGAGGTAGCGTGTGCAGTTAACGGCCTAGAGGGAGACCCCCTAGAACTCGTTCGACATCAGAAAGCCGACCCTAACCTTCGAGAGGTAATCAGAGTGATAAAAGAGGGAGATGTCGACAAGAGTGGAACAGACAAAGAATTAACAGTGTTGCTGAGACAGAAGGAGAGACTGAGAGTGAACGGATACGGAGCCTTGACCTGGCGGGATGATGACGAGAATTGTGTAGCAATAATCCCAAAAGATCTGCTCCAGGAGATGATTCGTGAATGTCACCAGGTAGCGCACACGGGTATTGCACGGACAACTGATTTGCTGCGGCAAAGTGCGTACTGGCCAGGTATGAGAGACGATGTTGCATGATATGTATTAGCGTGCCAGCGATGTCAACTAATGAAAGGGGATCGATGCATACGACCGCCATTGCAGTCAATTCCAGTAACAGCAGTTGGTGATTTGTGGTCAGTAGATGTTATGGGACCGTTCCCGCAGACGACAAGTGGTAACCAGTACCTGCTGGTGATGACTGAGCATGCCACACGATGGGTAAATGCCGTGCCGATGGCGGACCAACGTGCAAGGACGGTGACGGAAGCGGTAATGCGGCACATTGTGGCTGACCATGGGATACCAAAGATAATATTAACCGATCAAGGTCCCTGTTTCGAGAGTGATGAGTTCAAGTCCCGTCTAAAACAGTTAGGTATCAAGAGAGTACGAACAACGCCGTATCATCCACAGACGAATGGGTTAACAGAAAGGAATAACCGAACGCTAAAGGAATGGCTAGCATCTAAAGGGGGTGACTGGGAGAAAGAATTACCATTAATCTTGCTGGCACATCGTGCCTCAGCACAGGGAACAACCAGGAAGTCACCGTTCCAGCTGATGTACGGCAGACGGCCGAGACTACCAACGCATGATAAAACCTGGCCGCAACAACAGAGATGGAATACAACAAGATTGAGAACAGAGCGGAGACAAGCAATCAGGAATGTGAGAGAGAAACAAACATCAGACATGGAGAAGTCAGAACAGGAGAGAAAGAACTGGAGACCGTTTGAAGTGGGAGACCAGGTGAAGTGTAGAGAACGGAAATATACCACAGGAAGAGGGCCAGGGTCAGGTAAGCTGATCCCGAAGTGGGAGGGACCGTACGTCGTCACCGAGAGGCGCGACGCAGTGTATACGATCCAGAAAGGAAACAAACAGAAACGCGTGAATGCCAGTCAACTCCAAGGTGGTCCCAGGTGCGCCAAGAGGGCGAGCCACAAACACTGATAAAGAAGAAGGCTGTACGGCGATCAGAAAGACTGAGAGATAAGAGTTATTAGGTGTAGAAAGGATTCGATTCTGACCGATTTGGTCTCGTGTGCTTTTACGGGTATGAGGGAGGATGTCACTTACCGACTGCCCACACCATGGAAGTGCTCTGATTGTCAGAAGGGGCCTCATAACCTCCGAAGGAACTCGGCTTTCGTCATGAGACGTCATAACTCTTCTAAATGAAGACCTCCTAGCTCCCACACAGAGTTTATATGCTTTAAATCATTTTCTCTTGTTAGCGTTTTTTAGTGAGTTACTTTTCTACGGGATGGAGTTGCCAACCCCCATCCTTCATCCGGGCTTGGGACAGGTGATATCCCCGGAGAGGCTCCGGGCGGAGTTTTCTGTCAATTAAGTTAGGATTTTATTGACACCTAAGTCCTTCAAAAAACTTTTGACTGTCCCGATACTTCCTCATAAACTAACGAACACAAACGCTTTGTTTTATTTGAATGTCCTAATAAAAAATTAGATACAAAATAAGTTAGGATAATTCATTTTAGAAATTCTTTCATACAGACAGATGATGAGATGTGTGAAGTTTAGCCACGGCAATGTATTGTTGGCTTATCATATTTAACAAGAGATACTGGATCAATATCTTTACTTTTAATGCTATCATGTGATATATTGGCAGCAAAAGCTGAGCATTTGTTGATGAAAAATCCCAAATGACTAGAATTAGTGCAGTCAAGCGGCTAGGCTATCATTCATTGGACATCGTCAGATACTAGGAACCGTACCGAAAGAACAAGAGTCGAGCGTAAAAAAATCAGTCAGTTTGCACCAGCTCATAAAAAAGATATGGGATATGGGAAGCTGTGAGATTGAACAAACTAACTCAGTCTTTATAAGCATTATAGAGTTACAAGTAGAAAGACACAGGTGCAGTAGCATACGCATACACACAATCGTGACTTTTGCCATTGGTAAGCTTGCGTTTAGCCGGAAGGTATCGTGTGTGCTGAGGGGGATTGTGAGATTATCTGGAGGAAGGGAAGAGAGAAAAGGCGAACCAACGACATAGTAATCAGATAGAATGCACTTACATTCATTAGAGAAATCAATCGAAAACAAATACAAAAAATAATACGAGTTTGAAATTATACAAACTGTTAGTCGGGACAAAAGTTGGTTAGAGTAAGGTTTCATAATTCTATACAAAACTTGAAAATGAAATTTTTTCTTAGCATTTTTTCATAATAAACTGTATATTGAAGACATTACAAGCCAACATACCTCTTCAAAGTTATCCTTGTCGTACCATAGTAATAATAAATTATCATCGTCTGAATTGTTTCCAGGTGTGGATGGTTTCAAATCTGTCCGTAAACGAGGACCCATAAATCCACGACACACAACAAACGACTCTAAACTCGAGTTTCGACTAGCTCTTGGTTTTGCAAAACTAACTTGACCCGAAAATAAACATTGAAGTTGAGAACCTAGTAAACCAGAATCTCGTCCACGAAAAACCTTAGCTACAAATGTACCACCTAGTTCAAGAACTCTTGAACAGATAGTCAGAGCAGCTAAGATAAGATGTGACTGAACATATTCATCCAAATCATGCAGACCTGTTACTACAAAACAATAAGAAAAATGTTGGAAATATCGCTAATATGTGGAGTTAAGATTTTCAGATTAAAGTATATGACTCAAAAAAATAAAACTAATAAATAGTTGCAGAAATAATATCATATCATTAAAGGGAAAAAAGTCAAAAAGTACATAATGTATTTACAGATAGAAAGCTATCAACATGAAAAGCTCAAACTAACCATCTGGAGCACCATCACAAACAACAAGTTGGGCTAATTTACCATCAAAATGTTTGATGATCCGTTGAGCAGTATTCTGACTAGTAATATCACCTTGAATTTGAATGACTCCCGGTATTGGAGCCATAGCTTGTAGATCCACGGCAACAATTTTCACCTTCATTAAGAAAGATCAATAATGAAATTTCGAAATGTATCTAGTACAGATTTTTGTTCCTCCGGAGTTTTCGACTCCCATAAACGCTTTGATAATACTTGTGACCAGCTACCAGGTGCAGCACATAAGTCAACCACTCGTTCTAAAGAAGTATTTTCTGAAAAATAAAGAATGCAAAATCAGTGATAATTGAAGCTCTGATCTTTAACTAGAAACAATTTCTGATTTGCAAACCAATCTATTTAAAATTGTTGACATTCACTAACTACAGAGTATCTGATCTTTATTCTAATGATTTTCATCAATCAGGTATTGTTTATCGATTAAAAAAATCTCAGTTAAGTACATCGTATTCTTCAGCTCTTGCCATCAAGACTATCTGAAATTACCATGATGTAGAGCATTCATTGGAAGTATTTGATTATTCCCCTTAAATTAACTATCAATGCTTTTCTAGCAGTGATGCATTTCCATTTATAACATTGTAAGCTCTTAGATTGTTATTAGACTACTGTATTAAAGTTGACTATGTTCTGGTTAGTCAAATGTTACGATAACAAGCGTTGGAAAATGTTTTTCAACGGAAACCTTATTTCACTAATCATTAACTACAGAGAAAACTTGTGAATTAGAATGTGTATGACATCACCATTAATAACCTGTTACATTCAGCTGACGAACCTTCTGGACAGTTCAGAAATATCCAGGAGAACCAGTCTCATACTTACTATATGTAAATCATTTTGAATATTTCTATCTTCGCTTTATCAGTTTACATAACCATCAATGATTAGACTTTGTGGCTACTACTTTGTAGCGGTTATCAAGTTTGCTTAGTATGACAAAACAATCGAGTTATATTGTCCAGATCGTGCTTTGTTTATTTTGCTAGCAGACAATTTCTTCGCAGTGGCCTAAAGAAGGGGAGTGAAATTTAGGTTCAAGAACAAATTCATATCGCTGACTGTATTTAAACTATGGTGAGAGTTCCTAACCAGAAAAGCGGTAAAGTTACAATATGTTGCTAATGAAATGTGCGCATTATCTTAACACTAAGGATTTTTGGTTCTTATAGCATATTTTGAAACTTACAAAAATGACAACAAATATTCATAAAAGTCGTGCGAGAACCAGCTAAAAGTGATCTCTTTGGTTGTTTAATTAGGTTTACAGGTAAGCATTACTGACATTTATACTTTGTGCATAAGGACTATCAAAACACTTTTGTGACTTGATTGACTGTTCAACAATTAAAAGGGAACTGTTTTTGAAAAAGAGAACCTAGTATAACTGGAGTGACATATTTTAACTCACCTACACGGTTAGCACATAAAATACTTACCAGGAGAGGATAAAATTCCATACTCATCATCAATTTGTAGGAGCTTATAGGCACTACGTGCTCTCCAACCTTCTTCTTTAGCTAATCTATAGTAAATGTCGCGCTTATCACGTGAAGATTTCCCCATTATTGGTTTCCCTGAAACAGGTAAAATTAAAAGTACACTCAAAGTTTTGAGGTGAGAATGCAAGTAACCTGAAATTTAATTAGTATTACAATAGATTAGGATATGTTAACAAAACGGAAGTTCACGGGTTAGTCTCCCTAGTAATATGAATGAAATCAAACGATTAGTTATAGTTTTATCATAACGAAAGAGACAATTCAGTATTACTGTTCAATGAGTGGATAAAGTAAATAAGCCTTTAAATAATTTTTACATAAAAATTAGAACAAACGTAGAACAACAATATGCAATTTTAACAAGCTAGTATTTCAGCCAGAGTAGACCACTAAGTAAACTCTCAGTCAGTCAGTTACAACGTAGAACTTCTTACGTTCGTGCATTACTTCAGGTTCCCATACCACGTCAGCACAGAGACACAATCGTCACTTAAAATGCAATAGTAGTACATGTAGTAGTAGTATTAGCAGTAATCGGAAATTTTAGGTTCGACGATACTATTCAAGGAGCAGAATATAGTAAAACTTAAAAAGAAAAAGATAACGGTGATGAGGAACTCCGTACGTCAGGATTTGAGGGAGCACAAAGAATTAATGCAGTAGCGCCACTGTAAACGGTTTTGAGCCATTTCATTTAGGGTCTCCGCCTGTAAACCCTCCAGGGCTACTGCCGGTCCCAAGCCCGGATAAAGGATGGGGGTTGGACTTGGGGTTGGCAACTCCATCCCGTAGAAAAGTAACTCACTAAAAAACGCTAACAAGAGAAAATGATTTACAGCATTTAAACTCTGTGTGGGAGCTAGGAGGTCTTCATTTAGAAGAGTTATGACGTCTCATGACGAAAGCCGAGTTCCTTCGGAGGTTATGAGGCCCCTTCTGACAATCAGAGCACTTCCATGGTGTGGGCAGCCGGTAAGTGACATCCTCCCTCATACCCGTAAAAGCACACGAGACCAAATCGGTCAGAATCGAATCCTTTCTACACCTTATAACTAATTTTATCGTTAAAGAGCACTCCAGTTTTCGGTATTAACACAATTTATTGATTAAATGTACATTTACGTGCTAAAATATGGTATTGTTTGCTAAAGCTGGCTGGAAAAACGGGACGTATTTAGTATATAACATGTTACGGTAGGAAAGCTGTTTTGGATTGGCGTCAATTAGTCCTTTACGACTTCCTGGTCGGGGTCTTGGAGATGGTAGAACTCAATGGCTTGAGAAGTTATCAGACATAGCTCAGAATAAAAGTCAGTGGCAGTCTCGCTGTGACTACCTTTTATTTTTTCACATAAGCAAGAGGAGCTTTGGCTGAAAGGATCCTCCTAATTGTATTCTCCTGAATGAGCTGTTTCTCCAACTATTATTGCATCCTTACACTAATTTCTATCCATTTTTATTGTACTCACCGTTCTTTGTCTCTTCACAGCCTTATTTTTATTGTGTGGCTCACATACATTTCGGTGCCTACTTGTGCCAATACATTCTTAACTAAATAAATAAGCATATGATATGAAAATTTTTTGAGAAGATAAAACCCTACGAAATCTCCCTACCGGAACAGGTTTGAACTAAAGTTTCATTAACAGAAGCAACTAACTACCATACGCAAATGTTTTTAAACACCAGATTGCAGAAACATCATTTATCTGATTCAGATAAATTCTCCACGTTAATCTGACTGATCACTCGGTACCAGCTAGTTATATATTCGTTTGGTCCCGCGGTTTCCAGTTTGATTGGTTGAACATCATAGCACAATGTTTTGATGTTACGCGACTTCAGAGCCAGCATATAACCCCGGGAACTGGGATTCTTGCGTCCAAACCGAATGGATAATCAGTACCCTCAATACTGCAGGTGGACCTTGCTGAGAAGTGATACCCTGCACAAAACTTAGGTCCAGCGTTTCCTACGGGATGCTCTTAGGTGTCTTTGTGAGTGGCATATCCATTAGAAGCCTAGAAATAACAGCCAAGAGAAGCCGGTAAATGACGACCTCCGATGAATTAATAAATCTTCAGAAACTCATTTTGAACAGGATAGTGAGTGAATACGAATTAGATGTGGCAAAGTATCGCCACAAATGCTCTGGTACGGCCAATAGTAAGAGTCCGCTCTCTTGAAATGCTCGCATACGGTCATGAGTATATATCCGCTACCACGGAAGTCCTACTCTGCTGTCTCGTGATACGGGTATCATTTACAAAATTGAGGTGTTGAAAAGTAAGCATACCTAGACCGGGTTGATAGGTATGCAGGATCTAACTGAAAGAGTTGGAAAACCCTGATTCAAAACCAATAGTGGACATGAGCTCCAAGGTCCTAATGGAACAAATGACGTTTAGACCTATTGCTGGTGATGGAATACCGTGGGACTGTGCGCCTCCTTGAGTTACTCCACTGACTTGTGGATTAGACTTTTAGGTCAAAGGCTCAGGTCGTGACCCCTTTATAAAACCACCTGCCTCGGTCTGGGCTTCTGAAGAGAATCCCAGCTCGCTCGCAAATTCAATAATTTGTGTGATGCATGAATGTGTAGGTGCCCATTTGTACCAATGTTTGTTTTTAAGTAGTAATAATAATGACGAGAACAATAGTAATAATATGAAGGGAGAAAAGATGGAGATAGTAACCTAATCAACAATCACTCTGATCAGCGAGCGGATTCAACCTTTCAACGAGTCGAAAACGAAAAACTGCACGTCTTTACTTAAAGGGATTACATTTGAAAGCTATTCGGGGTATGGAGCAGTAATGCGGGTTGAATTGATTTGGATAGTAATCCGAAAGTTTGGCGTGATTTTATCAAACTGACCACAATCGTTGATCAAGTAATACACAGGTTTTCTCACGGAATAGCCAACTCGTAGGACCTACAAACAGATGTGATTGTTGTGTTGCGGTGGTTCCAATTTGCTGCTGGCTAACGTATACGCTTTCAGTATGAGTGCCACAGTCAGTTATCTAGATCAGAAAAGCAAGTAGTAGGCTTTCACTGGATGAGCGAATCGAAAATATAGGGATAGCTCATTTAAAGGTATTTATCAATCTTCTTCAGAAAACGAAGCCAGCTTTTTAACAGTTTATACATGTGTTTCAAGAAACGGGTTAAATTGTGACCAAGTGCACACCCGTCAGCATCTCATTTATTGTTTGGCCTGTCCGATTGGCATAGCATATCAGTGACAAGTGCATCTAACCAACTTATTCCAGAGGTCACAAATACAAAAATAATTAGCAATGGATCAAGATAGATTTTTGGCTTTTTGTCTTCATCTGTCCAGAAGAGGACGGAAATGTAGATGAGATTACCAGAACGATGATGATCCAATTACTGGTGATTAAAATCAAAGATACTAAGGTCATACGGTGGTTTTCGGGAGCCCGTGATTAAAGAGTGTGGAAACAGACTAATACCTGATATACCTAAGATAATCAAACATTTACCATTTGGCAAGACTGAAGACATTGATTCTTCGCTTATTGCCTATAAGGCCACATTACTGGGCTGTTTCTACCGTTTGTAGAACGAATGTTCATCCGTCATTAGATGCAGTCACAACGAAGACTAATTACACTATTCGAAGTGATATAGAACTTATCCATACACTTATGTTGCAAGAAGATTTGAGTACAAAAAGAACAGTAAGGGATCAAAGTGAGCACCCAGTATTAAGTATTCTCACATTTATATTAATTACCATAGTTATTACGTAGTAGTGAGACTATAACTAAAAATAAAGATAACATTGAGAAGATCTTGCGAAAACACACACTGTGGGGTAACGTGTTGTGTCCAATGTTCAGCAGGGTTGACTAGCTTAAAAAGTACCTAGTGAACTGGGAGAACTTAACTATCGAGTGTAGGAAAATATGGGAAACAGTGAGAAAAATTGAGTGCATGACTCAATGTATCTTCAGAATGAACTTACATTAACTGGTAAGAACAAACGACAACAATCAGAACAACAAACGTGAGCTCGAGGGAATGTAATCACTAAAACCAAAAGTTAGTAACCTAACATTGTGATTGCGCGACAATATAGTAAAAACATAAAGTCCAATATCCAATTTTTCACGAGTAGTATGAACCAAAAGATTTCTTTGAGCTCTATTCCTGAGCTCTCAGTACGGTTCAAGGTATTTGCTGTTGTACAATGGATGGTGGTCTTGCAACTCAAAGGCAGTAAATCTAGTCATTTGGATGTTGTTTGGGAGTTTGTACATCCGTGATTTGAATGAATGTGTTTGTTTCAAGCAGTAGGGTTTGCGGACACCGGAAGATTGTGCCAGAGGACCGGAGCGTAACGGACAGAAAACGGAGATAATAAGCAAAACAGATTAAGGTAGTTATCTGAGATGGCAATAATGACAACTAGCAAGTCTCAGGACATGCATCAGGCACAGCTAGTCCAAGAGGGAGATTATAATCCGTATGAGTAGGTGTTTATTAAGTCTCTTCTTAAAGCTGTCTACGGAGGGGGCTGAGGTCACCTGGGCTAGGAGAGCTTTTCAAGTTACAACGACTCTTAATGAGAAAACGTGTTCATGAACCTGAGTAATCTCTCTTTGATGCGCAATTTTTCGAGGATTTCCTCGAAGGGAGTGGCGGTGATGCATCGGTAAGATGCTCACGTTGGAATGATCTGTACTTCATAATCAGATCACTTCTGATTCTCCTGTAACTAAAGGAGACTAATCAGAAGTGCTGGAGTCTATCTTCGTAAGTTTTATTCTTCAACCCCACCACTGAATTCGTTGTCCGTCTTTCCACTCAATCCAAGAGATTTATGTCTCTTTTAAGAAGAGGGGGTGTGACGACGTTGTGAAAGTCAAGGTGTGGGTGTGCATGTCTTAAACAGCGTTAAGAATAATTCTGAGGTGAGAGCACCAATTCGTCTTTGCATAAGGTGAATAGTTGCATTAGCATTGGCTACGTTCCAAATATAGTCCAAACTGGTGTTGAGGATTACAGTGGCTATAAAACCGACATCTTGCTCT